ATGCAACAGACCTCTGGCAGTCTTATATGTCATATCCCCTTTCTCAGGGATTCTTGATTTGTCTCATATGTCCACAACAGTTGTAATTTTGCTAAACAAATTTGAATTATAAATTGTGAGTCTTGTGTGTAAATTGCTAGTCTTGGACTGTGGTCATTGAGCAAGTGAGATAGCTTAAGTGATTCATTAATTAATTCCAAGAATATTTACTGAGTCAGTGCCATGTGTTGGACACTGCTAGGGGCTAGGAATATGGCAGTAAATAAGACAGTCGAATCCCCTGCTCTACATAAATCATTTCTAGTGGCACACACTATGGTTTAATAGATAAGTAAATAAATAATCAAAATAATTAAAGATTGTGGTTAATTCAGGGAAGGAACTAAAAGAGGATACTATACTTAGAAAAGAGGGGACCTACTTAATTAGAGAGTCAAGGGAAGGCCTTTTTGAAAATGCTATGGTAAAGTTCTGAAAGAAAACAAGAGAGAGTCCACAGTTTGAGGAGTTTAAAACAACTTCCCTGAAGAGACAGTAGCAGATTCAAAGGAAAGGAAATAGCCTGACACTTTGAGAGAAAGAAATAGCCTGAGGGAAGAAGTACCCTAACACGTTCTTGGGCCAGAAAGGGCAGAGTAATTGGAGTGTAGTGAGGTGACTTAGGGAGGAAGGCTAGGGTTGAACAGGGGGCCTTATTGCTAGTAGATTAAGATTTTATGCACATACAGCAGGAATTCGGGGCAGAATTTGGATAGGGAAGGAACATGATCTGATTCATGTTTGAATATCACTTTGACTTCTGTGTCAAAAATGAATCGGAGACAAATTCCATGCATGATTTGTAGGGTGGCCTGTCCTGGGGCTCTCTATTTGTCTCTACTCCTAAAGGAAATGACAAGTTATCATGGAGCTCCCAGATTTGACCATTCCCCATTTCATAAAAGGGCTTATTATATATTTCTTTGTTTTAATAAAAATGATTTAAAAGTTCTTAAGTATAAACTCTTACTACCTGCTCTGTGAAAGTGTTTAGAACCACGTGGAAACGAGGTCTTTTTTAGACAGGCTACTTAAAAAACACATGGACAATAATTAAGGTATTAGGTTTTTCATTTGCATGTCAGATAAGCAGATTAAATTCCCTTTAAAGGAAATACTAATTTAACCATTTGTTTTGACTTTGGAATATATCTGTCTAGGATTTGATCTCAGCTGTCTCAAATAATATCTAAGAGGTTAAAAGTGTTATCAAATTATGTGGGATATTTCATTTACTCACTTGAGGTAGGTGTTATTCTGTCTTTTTTTTTTTTTACAGGTGATTTGTTTTTAAACATGAAGCCAATTACTCAACCCAAAGTTGTATAGCTAATAAGTAACAGTGTTATGGTTTGAACCTCTTTCTATTAATATATACCAGAGTATGTACTTTCTTCAGCCCAGTCCAGAGGAGGAATATAAGGAGGGACACTTACGATATATAGAATGGAATTTGGCATTGAAATATCTTTTATTTCTCTGTATGCTCTCCTAATCTGGTATGCTTTGGAGCTCAAATTAGAGCTGTTTTTAGCTGTCCTGGAAAAAGTCAGTGTTTGAAAATACCAAGCCTTGTTATTGACTCTCTGTGGTCATTGTCCTGGCATGGAGTGGGTGGCTTCCTTCCCGTTCCCATTTAAATTTTAGGTTAGGTCAGTGTACATCAGCAGAGAATGATGGTTTAAAGGAAACTTACTGTTTTCTTTTGAAATCGGCACTCTAATGTTATTTTTATGCTCCGCGCAAGTAATAATTATGTGGCAATAATACAATCATTTCAGGATACTCTAAGTAGTTGAAAAGTTTTAAGGTATTGTATATTTAGCATAAAACTAAAAATGCAAATTACTATGAAGTCAGGCACACTAACTTTGAGTATACAAATTGGTATTCATACCCTAGGGATTGGAGTATAGAATTACAAAAAGAAGGCTCTGTAACTCTGCATTAATAATTCTACATTAATTTCAAGTTGACATAATGTTTCTAAGGTGTTAAATGTATTAATGATAAAATCCATTATAGGCAATTTTATTAAAAATAGCATAATACCATGTTGAAAAAGACATTAGTAACGCATTATTAGAAGCTAAACAGCTAACAAACTAAATTAGATGCGTTTATACCAAGATTATTCTGTTACTTACAATGTTCTGATAAACAATATGTGGAACTTTCAAAACTTTGCTTTAATATACATGCTATTTTTAACTTTCAGAAAGAATTTTATACTTTTTGTATTAGTATTTTTATTTTAACCTAAAGGAAAATTCACCCTTTGAGGTAACTCTCACCATGATCAAATATAGAAGAGCTCCAACATCCTGAAATACTGTACTCACCTGCACACCAGCTTTCATCTATGCCACGCCCTGTTCCTTTATATTTCTATAGTTTTTCCCTTTCCATAATATCATACAAATGGTGCTATTTATACATACCCTTGGTGTCTGATATTCTGCTGCATTATCACTTGAGGTCAACCATGTTGCATGTGTGCATAGTTTATTCCCTTTTATTGCTGAGTAGTAGTTCATTGTAAGGAAATACCAGCATGTCGATTTATCTACTGAAGCACATTTATTTTTCATTTTCAAAATTGTTTTGGCTTCTGCAGGTATTTCTTTGTATTTGAGGTTGCTTGGTTTATCTAGGCTATTCTTTGCATTTCTAATAAAAATTTTAAAATCACCTTATTAATTTCTACTAAAAAAGAAGCCTTCTGGGGTTTTGCTATGAACTGTGTTGCATCTCTAGGTCAATTTGGAGAGCATAACATTGATATCTTATCCATGTTAAATCTTCAAAATAAACATGAAATGACTCTCCATTTAGATTTCTAAAATTTTCTCAACAATGTTTTGTAGCTTTCAGCAGCTAAATTTTGCTCTTCCTTTGTTTATCCCCAAATATTTTATTTTGGGGTGATACTGTAAATGGGATTATTTTCATATTATTTTTCTTTCATGTTTTCAAGTTTCCATCTTCTTCAGTGAATTTTGCAATGACTTCTTCAACCCCTCATCTAGCTCTTGTCTCTGAGCTCCTACCATACATTTTCTCTTGTATGTAATATGATTCTCAATGGCAGATATCTTGTCTCGTTCTTCTCTTAGCCCCAACGCCATAGTGTGTAGCTGATTAAATGTACTTTTGTCTCATTTCACTTCTATAATCTCTTCACAAAGTGAATTCCGAAGTCTCTAGTTTTTTCTTCTTTTTATTCAATTCTAAAATGATAATTCTTTCCTCAGTTCCCTCACTCCCACATACCTCAAATCATAAGTGATTTTTTTTGTCTGCGAAATAGGGAGGGAGGCGGACTTAACGAGGTAAAGTGCTGTGCTAACAGAGTCGAGAGCAAAACTGACTCCCATATGTCTCAGTTAGGTTCCAGTATGACAAAACTCTCTATCATCATACTGTCCAACTGCCCATCTCCAAATATGCATTTTGTTCAGTATTGATCAGAGAAATTGGGTCATAAGTTGTGAACTTCCTAGCACAAATCCCTTGCAAATATTTGAAAAGCAACTAGAAATTAATGTATTTTGCTTTTATTTCTATTGTATAAAAGTAGTTATTAAAAATATTCCTATGAATAGTAAGTCTCTAACAAAGATCAGCAAACTTTTTCTATAACTGGGGAGATAGTAAATATTTTAAAGCTTTGCAGGCCACATATGGTCTCTGTCATACTTTTTTGTTTTTGTTGTTGCTTTCCTCCCTTTAAAAAATGTAAAAACCAGTCTTAGCTGTGGGCAATACAAAAGCGGGCCATGGGCCAGAATTTGTCTGTGAACCATGGTTTGCCAGCTCCATCTGTAGCAATAAGAAAAGCTGATCTGTGTAAGTAAGCGTCCAAGCGGACAGAAGATTTTCTATCCAATAGAGAAGGCATTGCCAATACTAATCAAAGCCCTAGATAAACTGGAATGTGCCCAGGGATGTAGTCACATGGAACATGGGAAACCGTCTCCTAAGAGGGGTGGCTGGTGGAACCGAGTCAGGATTAGAGCAGCCGAGAGGTGACAGCCCAGTGGTTCTCAATGTGGAAGTTCCATGATGCAGAAAGAGTGGACTTGCCCTCCATAGGGCTTTCTGTAGAGCCTCAAGTGTACTGTCCTAGGACAGAGTAAATGTCCTCCCTCTTGAGATTGCTCAGCAGAACTTCCTCTGCCCAGAGATGCTTCATGGTGATTTTCCCTGAGAAAGATGAAGTAGCTTATAAAGAACATCCCAACCTTCTAACTTAGTGCTTTGGTATTTGACAAGGACATAATTATACTCACCATGGAACAGATTGCAACTGTAGACATCAATGATGAGAAAATAAGTGGAGGGATTTCACTGGGGTGGAATAAAAGTAAGTCTTTGTCCTGTGTATTTTGAGTGGGTTTTTTAAACCACATGACTGGACAGTAGCTAAAGATGTCATCAGATAACTTCGTCTTATTATTATAATCTTTACCTTGGTAAAAACATCCAAAGGATATCCTAAATTTTTAATCCAGAAACTACTTAGTCAAATGGAAAAATATACAAGGCGTACACCTGATACTATAATTTATATTTGTATATCTTCTGTCTACTAAGATAAAAAGCAAAAATCACAAAAGTAGCAAAAACCAAGTGCCGTGAAGTGACTAATTATTCTCTTCTGACCCTCGCAACAACTTTTGATGCATCAAGAAGCAAAAGCCATAATAACAGACTTCTGGCTCACATTTACCATTTTGTGGCTTTCCTTCATGCCAGTACTTTTCTCCATTTAAAAAAATTCTGGCATACTAATTTACAGACACCTACCTAGGTTTTCCTGAGCTTCAACTTTTATATCTGTAGCAATAGTTGCAGTTATTGATTTTATTTGGTTGAACTGTGACAGCTTTGATTCATTTAATTTAATTCAATTCAGTTATTCAGGATGCAATTTATCTTAATTTTGATTTTGGTTGTAGAGGTTGGCGATTTGAAGGAGCTGCAGACACTAGACATTTCTACCAATCGTTTGCTAACTTTACCCGAGAGGCTTCACCTGTGCCTTTCTCTGCAGTACCTCACCGTGGACCGAAACCGTCTATGGTGTGTGCCGCGCCATCTCTGCCAGCTGCCCAGCCTCAATGAACTCTCCATGGCTGGAAACCGTCTTGCATTTTTGCCGCTCGGTAAGTGATTGTGTTTAAATGGCAAAGCAAAACAACCAAGGGATAAGGTGGAAAACATCCATTTCCTTGACTAGGAAGATTAGTTGGTTTTCAATATTCTGTATATTTTGAAGATTATCTGTTCATTTTTGTGGTGAATAAAGCATCATTCCCAGTTGACAAGTAAACCTTGTTTCACTTAGGGAGTTCATATTTTAAGAAAGAAATCTCGGGGCCTCCCCGGTGGCGCAGCAGTTGAGCGCTGGGTTGCGAAGCTGCCCGCAGCCTCTGCAGCGCCGGTTCGATCCCCGACTGCTCCCCAGCCACCGGAGGAGGGTCCCACATGGCGCGCAGACCTCTCCTGCCGCCCGCTGCTCCCCTCAGCAGTGTACTTCGGTCCTTCTGCCTGCTCTGCTCCCCGCTCTGGCTCTGGTGAATTCTCTCACCCTCCGGCGCTTCTGACTGTACCCAGTGCTTGTATAAATAAATAAATAAATCTTTAAAAAAAAAAAAGAGAGAGAGAGAATACTTTAAAAAAAAAAAAAAGAAATCTCTGCTCTAAGTTCTTTCTTCTATCACATAGAATTTGTCTCAAGTCTAAACCATTCATACAGTGAGGGGCTCCATCCTGCCTTGAGGCCTGGTCTCTTGTCTGGTGCTGGAAGTCCTCTTATTAGAGTGTGTTCCAGTTCTCGACCCCTAATTCTGCCTAGAATCCTACAAGAATTAAACTTTTTTTAACATAATGAATCTTCTTTACTAATCTTGGGACTGTGGGCTTAGTTTCAAATCCAGCCAGTTTCCATGCCCTGGGTCCTCATCACAGTTCCTCAGCCAAAGCTCCTCATTCCCATAGTCCTTTGCCTTTCCTTCCTACTTGTTTCAGGAGTGACTCAGCTGAACATGTGCTGTGGTGCTAGTGGGGTTGGGTGAGGAGGGAATCCATTCCAGTGAGAACCTGACCTCTGGTAATGTCTGGGGTGACATGGAAGACATTGTATATCACACTGATACAATCAACAGTCTTCTCGGTCTTGTTTTTGTTTTATTTTGTTTGCCACCAGGAAGGTGAATTTGGAAAGGAAATTCAAATTAAGATTTTAGGAAAAAAATAAGTCCATAGCTATCCTCCCATGGAGTTTGCATACTTGAAATCTTTTCTTGATCTCCTTTGTGATAAACCAAAGCTGGCTAATGCTGAGAACTGTCCAGACATTGTCAAATGAGGCATGCAGCCACTGGCTCTGCCTCCACCAAGAGCTGAGTTGGTCTTGGAATTTTAGCAAATAGTGGTCTTCTTTGCCATAGTGTGGAGACTCTGTGTATGCATACACATGTGCACACACACAAACCACACACACCAACTAAAAATTTTCAACTCAAAGACTCCTTAATAGTGCGTCTGGCATCTCTCCTGCCTGACTATGACTGTGCAGGCGTTTCTTTTCACAAACCTTTTCCCATTGCAGAGCAGCAGCAGCAACTCTCTGCCCACTTATGTCTGTGCAGGTGTCTCTTTTTTCTTTCTCCTTTTCCTAATAAACCTGTCCTTTTAAAATGTAAAAAAAAAAAAAAAAAAAAAACGCACGGTGATTCTGTAAGCCTCATATAGGGACTTGACAGTTATAAAATGGGCACTATGATAGCTCTGCCTATGATGGGAGGTAGGAATCTTATTTTGGAAAGCTACTTAGTAAATTCAGTTTCTTGCCAAAGTTTGGCTTTAGGAGATAAGCAGTTTTTTTGTTTTTTTTTTTAATGGAGCTTCTGAAAAGAATGTCAGATTATAGCCTCTTCAAAAAGCAACTTGAGAAACTGTATGTAAGGAAGACTTAAATCACTTATTACACTATCTAAACCATTAACACTCTTCGTGTATGTTCTTTTTTTAAGATAAAAGAATGCATCAAGAAAAAGGATGCTTATATTATAACTGTACCGTGACAACTGAGTGACAGGTTGGCCGACAGACAGAAGCTTTATCCACAGTGGTGACTGTCAGTGAGGAGGAGGGGAACGTAATCGCTTGAGCCTAATGCTGTGAGATTTAATAGAGCCTTAGGAGCATGAATATTTGCTGTGGATTCAGTATAGCTCCATTAACTAAATAGCTCACAGAACTGTGGACTCACTTCTGGACTCCTGCAAGTGTAGGAAAATACAAAGAAAAGGATTTTTTCCTCTAAGACATTTTGTCAGGTATTACTGGTTCCTCTCAAATGATTAGAAGCTCAGTTTTTCAGTAATGTTTACAAGTTTATAATTTTGAATAATAGATATAAGGACTATGCCGTTGCCTGTGTAAATTGCTATGGAAAAAGCATTTTTTAGTTAGCCTAGGAAGTACTAGGTCACCAGTCAATGTCACTAACATCTATAGTTTAGGAAAACAAAAGTTGCACTCACATCAGCAGGCAAAATTATTATTGAGTGTTCATTTAGAAAGCAATGATTGAATTCTTAGCCATAAAATTTGGCAGGTGATGTTGAGATTTATAGAATCTCCTGGTGCATAAACTATCACTTAGTAAACTCAGACTTAGTGGAGAATAGCTTCCTGCTAGTAGTTAGTCCTACTAGCTTCCTACTAGCTGGGGTGGCAGAGTTAGGCCAACTCTCAGTCTCAGAGTTGTCCCTTGTCCCTTTTTGTCTACTGCATTCTAGTGGGAAAAATTATTCTGTGTGCCAAGAACTTGTGCTGTGAGTGAAATGATAGCTCCTTTCTGCTGTGGAGTGGCTTTGATAAGGATATAAAGTTGGCCTTTTTATCACATAACAAGATCACTCTAATTTTTCTCGTGCTTGTCATTGTTTTTCCTTTGTAGAAATTGAACACCCTCTATTAAAAAAAATAGTTTGTGTCAAGCAGTGGTACAATTCTAGAAACTAGCTTCCGGGCGTTTTCAAAACCCATGCTGAAATCCCTTCTCATATTGCAGATGGCATATAAAAGACCCAAAGCTGTTAACCACAGTTGTTTTTTCCTATTGCTGCTTGTTCTTGCATTCCCTATGTGTTTAGTAAGTTGGGTAATGATTTGCCGTTTACTATTGTTTTAAGAAAATATTTAAGTCCTTGCGGTAAAACCATTCAAACCAGTATTGAAACCAGATGGAAACCAGTTAATAATTTTTTAATCCCTGACTTAGAGATGAATGTAAGCCGTACTGAACCCTGAATGTATTTGATCTGCAGGTTGAAGAGCTACAGCCTTGAGGTCACTGTTTAGTAGGAACAGTGTTCAAAGTTTGTAGTCGTAAACAAGTTTTAGTGTTAAAAAGTTTTTTCTAGTACAAACCAGGCCCAGAGGTTGAAATTAGTACCTTTTTGAGCAGAAGGAATGATGGTTACTTTGCAAGGAGGGACCAAAGCGTGTGGCTGAAATGGTGTTCCCTAAGGATTGTGGTCAGGTCTGTAATCAAACACATGGTGAAAAAGAAGGAAAGAAGAGCATGAAAGCAAAGATCAAAAACCAGTAATGGGAAGAGATCGGGGAGAATTATTTTATGAATTAAACTCTGGAGTGCCTACTCTTTAAGAAATTGGATGTTCAGTGCTTTTTTTGGGGCTCTGTCTTTTTGCAAGTGTTTGTAACAAAAATTCTTTCCTTCATTCTGGTTCTGCTTACGCATCTGACCCTTTCCTACTGTCTTAATGATTACCTCTGCTTTATTTTTCTTTCATCACCTTGGGCCTTTGCTCTTGACCTAAAGTTTCTTCGGGAGTTAATAGGGTTATTTATTACGACATCTGCAGTGTGGACCAGATGCTGGCTTTACTATGCTAATGTGTAAGGAGAAAAGTTCACCTAGAGATGGTGAGCTTTAAATGGATAAATGTGTATTTTTTGCTAAGATTTAGAGAAGGATTTGTGGGTAGGGAGTAATTAATATGAAGAAAATGAACTCTGATTTCTAGAATATTAGTGTTTTTTTTGTTGTTTTTTGTTTGTTTGTTTGTTTGTTTGTTTGTTTGTTTTGTTTAGAAGAAAAAAAGTTTATTGAGGAGAAAAAGAGCAGAAATAAAGTGGGACTCCCAGGCCAGGGAACCAGGCCTGGGAGGGGCAAGGAAGCCAAAAGAGAGAACTGCTGTTCATTCTTTTAAAAGTACAAATGTAAAAAAAAAAAAAAAAAATGGTAATATGAGGGTAGATCCAGGGGCAGAATGTTTGCCAGCAAAATTTTAGTCGATTTGGTTCTGGAACTTAGGGCAGTTTAATTAGTGATGGAGGAAGTGGTGCAAGTGAAGTCTGGAAGATGCCTGTTGACTTCAAAGCAAGAATCTGGAGTTTTTGTCAGTCACAGTTTTCAGTAAAGTTGTCAGTTTTTGATTGGGGGGGAACTTTGGGGGAACTCAAATCCAACTGAGCAGCAGCTCAAGGGGAAAAGTGGGGTGAAGCACTTAGTTCCCCATGGTGGCTTCCCTAGCACGGGAAGATAACGCTGTTGTAATTCGGAGTCTATGATGGGTAGTCGGCCTGACATCTCTTTCTCTGGAAACTTCTCTGAAGAAATTCTTGATATTTCCTTAATTTACTGCCCTAAATCTTTATGTCAGAACTAGCCCCCAGTTATGTGTTCTTTTAAAACACTGGCCTCATTCAAGATCCAACTCTGACATGACACCTGGACACTTGGGCAGAGTGCCAGTGCTCTGGCACCCATAGCACCCTGCAGCCTGCTGTTAGTATCGCTTTCTCCATTTTGTGGATGTTCCCTTAGACGTGGAAATGATAGCTGGGGGACACTGTCCAGCTCACTTCATGGTGAAGCAGACATTCTTTTAAATCCTAGCTTTGCTATTTATTAGCTGTGTGATTTGGGACTTAGAAAGGCTATTTAAGCTGCCTAAAATCTCTGTAAGGGGTATATCAGTACCTACTTCATAGCACTATTGTGAGAATTAAAGAGCAGCCATTGAAAATACGCTAACTTATAAATGCTATGAAAATAAAAATATAAACTATCTTTATTGTTTTACTAGACTGTAAGAATGGATTGAGACTGTATTGTGTCTTCACT